AACACACAGATCAAACCCTGAAACAACCTCTGGGCTGATCTAAGTCAGGATACGGCTAACACACAGATCAAACCCTGAAACAACCTCTGGGCTGACCAATATAGTCATGGTTCGGATCATTCACGGATCGAATTAGAATTGAGCTTGTTAGGTTTTGTGGTGCGGAGGGAGGGAAGACCGGAGAAAAACCATCGAATCAATGAAAAGAGATGACAAACTAAGAATCCAACCCGAAACTATAGGAGTGAGAGGTGAGCGCCCAACATAGCCGATACCCTTGCCGGATGGTACAATCAGTTATATAGACACGATGTTGGTCACAGTTATCTGGTACTTCATCATAACCAACCAATATCGGAGAGACGTTCACTGAGGACGTAATGAAACCCTAGCAGTATCACCCTCAGTGCCTACTCCTCATACCCACAACCTCTCATGATCGTAAGCACCTTTTGCTATATCTAAATAGAAGGGACGCTGCATAAATCATAAATCATTATCATTATCATCATTATCATTACTCGACACTAGTAATGCATGGATGCTGATTGATTTTGAGGATTGGATTTATTGCAGTCATCAACCATGCATTAATCCACTATATATTACTTTACAATTTTTGAACTTACTACCATTCGCATTGCCAGAGCCAGCCAATAATCAAATCACGTTACTTTATCAACCAATGTTAAGTTCTTCAAATAAAAAAAATATTGTTGCTATAGCAAAACATGGTCTCCAAATAAAAATAAACTTCTTTCTCTTTTACTCCGACGAAGGACTAGCGTCCGAAACGTCAGTAAGTTGTTTCATCTTTTCACGGTGTATAATTTACCTTTTCATCATTACTGTTTCATTAGAAACACCGACGCAGCTCACACTAGTTTTTAGCTAGTTATGTCTTCAAATAAAAATGATATTATATTTTTCAAAAAGGCAATAAATTTTGAATAAGATCTATTTAAATAATAATAAATTTGTAATAAACATTAGAAATCGATTGGCTATTGTAGGGGATGATTTACAGTACACATTTTTTTAAAAGAGGCAAAAAAACTCAAAGTTTTCACGGTTCGAGAGTCGTCACTGTAAGTTTTGTACTTATTTACTTGAAGTTAGTCACAGTTAAGTGCCCGGTCCTTGGCAGTGATTGAGAGCAAGAGGTTTAAAGGATTAAGTGATTAAGTGATTTGATTAATATTCGACTCCAACTGTTCTGGCATCAAGTCTGACAATAACAGACTCGCCGTCATTGTAAGATCTTATACTCCCTGACAAAAACAAAGGTGTACTCTATTGGAAGGTGTGCATTCTAATTTTGACCTTGCCGAATTTCTTTCTTTAGCCCAGAGTCTTAGCGAGGTATTGATAATTCGATAGAGAAGCCGCGTTTATATCAGTCCAAATTGCTTTCATACGTTTTTGGTGTCAATCCAAATGAAGGAAACCAGGAGATTCAAGTTTTTTTTATTCCACACACAAAATTTTAAACACTTTTAAAAACGTCTACAAACCCTCCCTTCCCCTCTCCCCATTGGGGAAAGAATTCTCCCACTGAAGCTTAGTTTTCAGTTACCGTTCACATAAAAGAAACAAGCAGTAGTCGACACCGTCTATCATACATTTACTAGATATTTAGTTGGCCCACAGATAAATATTACTGAACCAAACACTTTCCAGCTGAATTGACCTTAAGAACAAATTCAAGGTCAGCCAATCAGAATTGTGGATTCAACATAATATTTTGATTAGCATTTGAATGATTCTGACAAGAAACCTGAAGAAATATGAAATTTTTAGTCTTTAAATTTATCGTAAGTGCTACTAGTTGAACTCATGGTGGAATTTTATTTCATTCAACACAAAAAATTTACATTGTACTCAGCCCCTCCCAGGAAAATGCTAACCAAAAATAGTTGGCCCATAATCCCTTTCGGGGAACGCAGTCAGCTCAGCTGGTTTCTAAAGCTGCCGATACACGCTGCAATTTTTTCTCGCATTGGCAATGCAATCTCAATTTTCTGATGCATTGCCAGCGCGAGACACAATTTCAGCGTGTATCATGCCCCGCGACTTTGACGGCAACGTTGTCTTGCAATGCAAAAATTGTTGCAGAAAATCAAAACGTTTGCACTTTTCTCTGCAACATTTTCGGAATTGCACGCCTAAAAATAGCGAAAACTGAAAATTGCAGCGTCTATCACCCATGTTTACTCGCAATGTAATAATCCTATTCAGACTAGCCAATCAGGATTTAATACTGAGTTTTACTGATTTTTACCTTTTTGATATGGTATACGTTGCAATTTTTCGCTGCAACAAAAGTGTGAAATTGCGTTGCCAGCGCGAGAAAACATTGCAGCGTGTATCGGCAGCTTAAGGCTAAGCTTAAGGATGTTGTTGGAGAATGTTGGCAAGATATCTTTAATGTTGAACGAAGTTTGTTTGTTTAAAAACTTCTCAGTTTTATGCTTATAATAATTCAACGATATGTACTAGATATTAGATTTTACATTTAGATATCATTAGTATTAAATTTTAGGTGTCCCCTGTTAGTAGAGGGATGGTTTTCGACACGCTCTTCAACACTATTATCTATCTTTGTTGTGTAGTAAACAGAGGTTGAAAAGCACACTTAGTTGGTGTATTTGAGGAGGGTCACCAAAGTTACTTAGCTCTTAGCTGTACGAATTTTAGCGTACGATGGGCCAAGACAGACATGCAGGTGGAGGTGTTGGGTTCTCCCCCGATCGCTCGAGTCGCAAAACCTAGTCCAGTAAGAATATTCCCACATGGGAATAAAAAAGAAAAGACACTTTATGGATGGTCAAGAATGAATTTGAACACTATTTAGTTCGATTATCATAGCTATTTTTAAAAAAAAAGTTTTTTAAGAAAGATGGCCCAGAAAAGATTAGAAGATCAAGATCACCATTACGTCACAAAAAGCTCCTCTTCGAAAACTCGAAGCAACCCCAAAGCTATGGCAACAGCCATCATACTGCTGACCACCCAGATGATCGTCCACATGTAACCAATATGACGGTCCAGCGAAAAACCAAGATAACTGTTGCACAAATTAACACAAATATTAGTTTTGTGGTCTCTACAAAGACTCGCACTTTTGTTGTTTGATGTTATTTTTATCAAATGTATAGACACTAATAGTTGAAATGTTTTCCCACTTCTTCAGACAATGTCTCATTCTCTAGAGTATCATTTCTTTGTTTAACGGTTGCGCATGAGAAGAAACGTGTATATTGATACAACTCAAACAAAGAATCAAGAGAATGACACGTGGTCTGTAATGGAAAAACATTAAGCTGACGATAAATGGGTCTGTCCCACATGTATCCCTCGCGATCTCAGAACCCTGTCATTCTTAATGCGCATGTCATTTCTTCACGCATGCGTAGTAAGAAGGCTCTGGGCTCTAAATAATGATCTGTAAGAAATGCCAAGTGGATGAAAATTCGACTTGCGCATGCAGACTAACAACTACAGATTCAAATCAGAAATCAATAGAATCATAAAACAAGTAAAAAATCAACTAGTGATCCATCAAATAGATAAAACAGTCATCGAACTCGACTCTTCGATAAATACCACGACTTGCTAGCATTTTGCAATCAATTATTTTTCTCTGCCTCTGGCATAGGTAAATGACTGATTGCTTCCTACTAACAAGTCATCCCGATATCTTGCTTAGTCTCGTCCAATATATAATTACTAGTTAGACTGTTTGTGTAAAGCCTTGTGCTTTAAGCAGGTTGCCTATTTCCTGCATAAAGGCCAGCACAAATGGTGTAAGGATTTGATGGTGACAAAGGTTTGCTGACAAGTGCAATACGTGGGAATGGTTTGCGCAAAGTTTGTTCAATGATCTTGTAGATTTTCTGTACAAGTTCTTTGACAATACTGTTGCGCCCCACCTCTGCACACATAAAATATCACTTATCCGTTTTGGTTGAGCTCATTTTTTTGCGGTTTGACATGAAAATGAGGCAAGTGGGTCAGTGAACATTGTTTTGACACATTTTCCTCGTTATCATGAATAAAAAAAACATACATACAGGCTCAACCTGCTTCGGTATGCAATTTCTAGTAAATGAATCAAGTCTTACCTGTCAGAACACTGAACCACAACATCGGTTAATCCATCATTAGTGAAATCTCCTTCAACGACAGGTGATACGGGTTGACATGGCAACGTATGGGAAGCCAGTAAAGTGCCATCGACTAAAGATACTAATGAGATGTGATGCCAACTTGCAATGAACAATGCTTTCTGAGTAAAATAAAATAAATAAATCACTTTTGTTTAAGTGTCTAGTCGTTCTAGCGCTTTCGCACTAATTGGGGACACTTTTCACTCACACGCACTACCACTACATTTAATATTCTATGCACACAACGCTCAACTCACATGTTGATTTTTACTGCAAAATACGAGATACTGACGATTTAGGGATTGGTTGACTTAAGAAACAACAGACCGACCAACCAAACAACCAATCAAACAACTGGAGTGAATGATAGTTACCTGGTTTTGGTTGCTTTCTATAGCAACTGGTTTCATGGACGGAAGGAAGCTTCTAGTGTTTTCCTGTGTCATGCTTAGTTCATCAGCACGCACGCGATCTTTCCAAGATCCATCCACCTTTACCTTTAACAGAATTCAAACGATACGAGTGAGAATTATATACACTGCGCATGTTCGGAAAATCATGAAGATGCTCCTAAAAAGTGCCGAATCTAAAGCAAAAGGAATAAACGGATGAAGTTTTTCAACTGATCTTTCTTCTTCAACATCTTTCAGATTTTTTCCATGTTTCTGCCGCCCTCTACAACGTCCAAACGACTGGGATTTTGGCATCCGTCACTCAAGAAACTAAATTCAGACTTATAAGTGATTATAATGGGAGGAAGCCATAACAAGAAATAAGAGTTTATTAGATGGAGTTGTCTGGGTCGCAGAAAAATCAAAGCGCTTCAATTTGGGCGGTTTAAATTTTTTTTTTTATTTTACTTAAATATATTTGTTCAGTAAATTAACCCCAATGAAAAAAGCGCGCATGGTCATCTAAGGGGTCTACGTTTAAATTAATCATACGAAAAGAATGGTAAAGCTATTCAAGCTATTTACCGTGTCGAATTCCTAAAAACGCAAAGCACGTTGATAACCAAAATACGGTGTTGAACTAAAATAAATGACGTGACAATATGTGTACTAAACAGTAACGTACCTGCCAGTTTAGTTCTCCATGAGGACCAAAGCTTGTTACTTTACCAGTGCTTACCAGGAAGACACTATCAAACCCCACCCTACTCCTCCTCAGGTTATGACCCATCAGATGTCGCAAGATCCCTGATCTGTGGGGTGGACTGTGAATGATCACAGGGGGTACTGGTAACGGTTCTTCGCCATGTTTGGTATCAGCTGGCCCGTCAAACACACCACCAAAGAGGGACAGCGTTCGACAAATCGATCCAGTGAATAACGTGCGCGACTGGGATGACACGACCGCAGTGCATGACGGAACACTGTTGGGAAAATCATCACGTGATTCAAAATGAGTAGTCACGTGATCAACATGGCCATCTTCATTGATGTCACCCAGTGAGACTGACTCCTTGGGGATTGTGTATCGACATATTGGTCTACCGGAGTCGAGCTTCAGTACTTCGACGCCATGTTGGTTGTGGACAACAATCGAATTGTGCTGCACATCCTTTTCGCTCTTCTTTTCTTCGGAGCTGAAAAGATCGATGTTGGGAGCTTTAATGTCGAACCAGCTTTGCTTAGCCGCTTTGGACATTGTTTTTCTTGAGCCCTTGACAAAACGAGCAGCGAAGAGTTTTGTATCACTGGGATGGTGCCATCGGTAAGGCAGGGTTTTCAGGAATGACATAAGGTATTTAGTCCAGTGTTCTTCACCTGTATGGTATTGGTTGGGTTGAAGAGCAAGCTTGAAGTGGTACGATGAAAGAAGATGCTACGGATAAGACAAAAACATTTTTTTAACACTTAGTGAAACACAGAACGGTAAGTTGTTAGTCGTAGGTGTAAACGGCCTGTAAAGTAGCAGATAAACTAATATTTTCAATGAATAAACGACACTCTTGAGTTTGAACATTTTTTAGTCAAACATGTTTGGACAGACCAACTGCCATCCTTATTGACAAAGAATAAATCAAAGCGGGAGACGTTATATATATACTAAAACAAAGAAAACAAAAGACAAAGAACATTTTAAGGTTGACATGGTGGACTTCTTAGTTAAGCGTTGGCTTCGCTGGCTTAAATTTAAGACTGAGACCTTTGCTTCATCTTACTACAATCGTGTGGTTCCCTTATATGGAATGATCTGCCGGCTGAGCTCAGGCAAGCTATCTCTGCACCGTCCTTTAAGCGCTTACTTGTTAGTTATTATTATGACAAATTTATGTCTTCCTTTGAGACCACTAATACCTGCTCTTGGGTGACGAAATGCCGCGGCTCCAATTGTAGGGCTTAGCCATTCATTTATTAGTTAGGTACTGTTTGATCTCTTTTTTTCTTCTTCTTCTTAATTTTAGTTGGAGACTATCCTATAGGTGGAATGTCACCTGTCTAGTTCTCCGCAACAGTTTAATTGTTGGAAAAATTTAAATAAATAAAAAGCCAGTGAATGTGAAGGCTTTCTTTTATTTTGAGGATAAACTTGGACGCGTTGTAGTTGCAAAACAAGGAAGCATGTAGAAAAAGGATATTCTTCCCACTCCTTACATAAACATTTTACTTCGTGCTTTCCTCTACCAACCAAAAGGTCTTACCTCTCTTGCTGTAACGTTTGCCGCAAAGTCACCTGGCTTATGACTCCAGACTATTCCTCCTTCTCGTCCATTAAAAGCGAATGTTGAGAAATGTTCCGACTCACCGGAAACCTGCGGAAAGAACGACATCATGTTACCATGACAACAAAGGCTAAAGTCAATGCGGTTGGGAAAGATGACTTATATTGGCTGCATCACTTCTGCATTAAAGATTTTAAATAGACAGGTTTACCTTGTGGCATAATGGCCATTTATTCTGTGTGGAATGCATGTGGGCCGTCTACAGTGAAAAAAGCGACGCAATAATAATTTGGCGCGTATAAACCTAATCGAAAAATTGCGACCTTTTTGAAAAGGAGGGAGGAAGGAAGGAAGGAAGGAAGAAAGAAAGAAATGACGCATTAAAATCATGAAAATGATTTTAATCCAGTTTTCCAGTCCAGTTTTGTAAAATAGAAGATTTTTATGAAATGTGTTTTTGTCACTCGATAAAGATCCTTATGTTAAGTGTATGCTACATAGAGTGTCTAAGCAGATTAAAAAATCTCCCTCAGTTGGGTTCTCGCGGGACTCGAGCCACTGACCTCTCGTTTGCTAGACGAGATCTCAACCGCTTGGCCACTGAGGCTTAACGGGAGAAGGGCGTGTTAGATCTATATTTTAATCAAATCCGCGCGTGATCTTTTACCCAACACGAGACGGGACGAACACAGTTCGGAACCCGCTCGGAATATCCGTTAATCAACGGAATTTTTATCAATTGTGAATTTATGAAATGTGTTTTGGTCACTCGGTAAAGATCTATATGTTAGAAGATTTGTGTTAGGAAGATCCCTGATGTTAAAGCGTAAGACGACCGTGTCAAAGATTACCCAGAATTTTAAGAGATAAAAACATGCAGGCAGAGATGCACTACCCTGGGTGCCAGAGGCCGTTTGGGGCTTGGGGTAGAGATGCTCAAGATGTTTAACATTATCCGAGCATGATTTGTGCCTGGAAAGTATGAGCAAAAAGGGACCAAATTGGCCCTGTAAGTAACTAACTTCTAACCTTATTCGGGTCCATCGTAGAATGAGTGTTGGATTTCCTTGCAAGCTCTTCAACAGTTTCTTTGGGAGCAGCATCGACGTGATGATCATGGCTGAAAAAATAAAGCATTAAGTTATGGTTCGTATGACCATGTAAAATGGCGGACAGGCATCATGAAGAGACGTTAAACATAAAGGGCAACAAGTTTATCAGTGCTAAGTTGGCAACT